AGTGCTGTCATTGTGAACCAGTAACAGGGTCCTTTGTAGACCTTCTCTAGTTCCCTCCAGTTTTCCTCTGAGAGGGAACACCTTTGATCCCTAGGATCCATCATTAGGAGAGGTTTGTAGAGGGGATGGAAGAAATTCCATGATTCTGGACCTGGGATTATGGACTCAGAGTGCTGTCATTGTGAACCAGTAATGGGGTCCTTTGAAGACCTTCTCTAGTTCACTCTGGTTTTCCACTGAGAAGGAACACATTGGATCCCTAGGGTCCATCATTAGAAGACGTTTGTAGAGGGGATGGAAGAAATTCCATGATTCTGGACCTGGGATTATGGACTCAGAGTGCTGTCATTGTGAACCAGTAATGGGGTCCCTTGTAGACCTTCTCTAGTTCACTCCGGTTCTCCTCAGAGAGAACACCTTGGAACCCTAGGATCCATCATTAGGAGACGTTTGTAGAGGGGATGGAAGACATTCAATGATTATGGACCTGGGATCATGGACTCGGAGTGCTGTCATTGTGAACCAGTAATGGGGTCCTTTGTAGACCTTCTCTAGTTCACTCTGGTTTTCCTCCGAGAAGGAACACATTGGATCCCTAGGGTCCATCATTAGAAGACGTTTGTAGAGGGGATGGAAGAAATTCCATGATTCTGGACCTGGAATCGCTGGATCGGTGAGCTGTTTTTGTGAACCAGTAAAGGGGTCCCTTATATACCTTCTCATGTTCACTTCGGTTGCCCCATAAAAAGGAAAACCAAGGATCCTCAATAGAAGTCATTCTTAAAGGGGGCAGTTGTGGGATCTTTGGCTTGGGGTCAGATCTTGTGAACTAGTAATGGAGTCCAAATCAGTTTATTGATTGGGGGAGTACATTGAGAACCCCCTCCCCCAATAATTCTGGACCTGGAATCGCTGAATCAGGGGGCTACTTTTGTGAACTAGTAAAGAGGTCCTCTAGAGACTTCCTCCAGTTGCCCCCAGAAAAAAAAAACAAGGATCCTCAATAGAAGTCATTCTTAAAGGGGGCAGTTGTCAGATCTTTGGTTTGGGGGCAGATCTTGTGAACTTGTAATGCAGTCCAAAGGAAATGTTTATCAGTTTATTGATTGGGGGGAGTAGATTGATGACTGGTATGTTCCTAGAACCCCCTAACTCCCCATAATTCTGGACCTGGGATTGCTGAATCAGGGAGCTGCTTTTGTGAACCCGTAACAGGGTCTTTGTATACCTTCTCTAGTTCACTCCGGTTCTCCTCTGAGAGGGAACACCTTGGATTCCTAGGATCCATCATTAGGAGACGTTTGTAGAGGGGATGGAGGAAATTCCATGATTCTGGACCTGGGATCACGGACTCAAAGTGCGGTCATTGGGAACCGGTAACGGGGGTCCTTTGTAGACCTTCTCTAGTTCACTCTGGTTTTCCTCTGAGAGGTACACCTTGGATTCCCTAGGATCCATCATTAGGAGACGTTTGTAGAGGGGATGGAAGAAATTCCATGATTCTGGACCTGGAATCGCTGGCTCGGGTGAGCTGTTTTTGTGAACCAGTGAAGGGGTCCTTTGCATATCTTCTCCTGTTCACTTCAGTTGCCCCATAAAAAGGAAAACCAAGGATCCCAATAGAAAGTCATTCATTCTTAAAGGGGACAGCTGTGGGATCTTTGGTTTAGGGGCAGATATTGTGAACTTGTAATGGAGCGTAAAGGAAATGTTTATCAGTTTATTGATTGGGGGAGTAGATTGATGATTGGTATGTTCCTTGAACCCCCTCCCATAATTCTGGACCCGGGATCGCTAAATCAGGGGGGCTGCTTTTTGTGAACCAGTAACGGGGTCCTTTGTATACCTTCTCTAGTTCACTCCAGTTCTCTTCTGAGAGGGAACACCTTGGATCCCTAGGATCCATCATTAGGAGTAATTTATAGAGATAATGGAAGAAATGCCATTAATTCTGGACCTGAGATCACGGTCTCAGAGTGCTATCATTGGAACTAGTAACAGGTTCCTTTGTAGACCTTCTCTAGTTCACTCCGGTTTCTCCTCTGAGAGGGAACACCTTGGATCCCTAGGGTCCATCATTAGGAGAGGTTTGTAGATGGGATGGAAGAAATTCCATGATTCTGTACCTGGGATCACGGACTCAAAGTGCGGTCATTGGGAAACTGGTAACGGGGTCCTTTGTAGACCTTCTCTAGTTTACTCCAGTTCTCCTCTGAGAGGTACACCTTGGATTCCTAGGATCCATCATTAGGAGACGTTTGTAGAGGGGATGGAAGAAATTCCATGATTCTGTACCTGGGATCACGGACTCAAAGTGCGGTCATTGGGAACTGGTAACGGGGTCCTTTGTAGACCTTCTCTAGTTCACTCCGGTTCTCCTCTGAGAGGGAACACCTTGGATCCCTAGGATCCATCATTAGAAGACGTTTGTAGAGGGGATGGAAGAAATTCCATGATTCTGGACCTGAGATCACAGACTCACAGTGCGGTCATTGGGAACCGGTAACGGGGTCCTTTGTAGACCTTCTCTAGTTTACTCCAGTTCTCCTCTGAGAGGTACACCTTGGATTCCTAGGATCCATCATTAGGAGACGTTTGTAGAGGGGATGGAAGACATTCCATGATTCTGGACCTGGGATCGCTGGCTCGGTGACCTGTTTTTGTGAACCAGTAAAGGGGTCCCTTAGATACCTTCTCCTGTTCACTTCAGTTGCCCCATAAAAGGAAAACCAAGGATCCTCAAAAGAAGTCATTCTTAAAGGGGACAGCTGTGGGATCTTTGGTTTGGGGGCAGATCTTGTGAACTTGTAATGGAGTCCAAAGGAAATGTTTATCAGTTTATTGATGGGGGGGTTGATTGGTTAGAGTGGGTGTAACCTGTAAAGTTCCCCTTTTACTAATAGAACCCCTTTCCCCCCAAGACTCTTTGCATTCCCCCCCCCCCCCCGAATTCTACCAGGAAAAGTGATGCATTTTATAGTGGAAAGGGGGTGACCCCTCATTGTCCAGCATGCTGGGAAATCTATCATGACAACTAAGGTCTGTCAGCGGCTTCAAACTATCACCAGAAATATTGAAATAAAGATACATTGTGGCAAGCTCTGAAACATTTGGCAGCTGGGGTGGGGGGCGCGCAGGGGCAGGGTCATGTGACTGGAGAGGACTTGCTGTGGATGACCCCCCCTTACTTGCTGCAATGTTGGAGTCTATTAAGTGGACCTGTCACAAGACTGCCATCTACTGGAGGCTGCAGGAAGTACGCTCCATGAGAAATTCCCGGAATTCCTGCGGAGGATCTTCTTGGGAAATGTCAGAGAGATTGGAAGACACAAATATCACTGCAGTGACATGACATTGGGGGGGGGGGGGGGGGGCGTACATTTCATTGGATCGCTAAACCTCTCAAAAGTTGGAGAAGTTGTGATATCAGAGGGGAGAATCGAAAGAAGATGAAATGAGAAAAAAGAAAAATATTCCACGATCGAACATACACGGTGCACACACATCGAACATACACTGTACACACACATCGAACATAGACTGTACACACACATCGAACATAGATTGTATGTACACATCAAACAAACATTCACCATTTATACATATTGAACATACATGGTACACACACGCACCGAACATAGACTGTAAATGCACATTAAAAATACACTGTGCATACAGATTGAACATACACTATACACGCACATTGAACATAGAGTGTGCATACATATCAAACATATACTGTACATACACATCAAACACACATTGTACATACACATCGAACATACACGGTACACACACATCAAACATAGACCGTATATACACATTGAACATACACTGTACATACACCATACACACACATTAAAACATAGACTGTACATACACATCGAACATAGAGTGTGCATACATATCAAACATATACTGTACATACACATCGAACATAGAGTGTGCATACATATCAAACATATACTGTACATACACATCAAACACACATTGTACATACACATCAAACATACACGGTACACACACATCAAACATAGATTGTATATACACATTGAACATACACTGTACATACACCATACATACACACTGAACATAGACTGTACATACACATCGAACATAGAGTGTGCATACATATCAAATACACAACATACATACAAATCAAATATATACTGTATATACACATCAAACACACACTGTACATACACATCAAACATTTACCATTTATACACATCAAAAATACACGGTAAACACACATTTAAACATAGGCTGTACATACACATTGAACATACACTGTACATACACATTGAACATACACAGTACACACACATTTAAACATACACTGTACATACACATTGAACATACACAGTACACACACACATTTAAACATAGACTGTACATACACATTGAACATACACTGTACATACACATTGACGGTACATACACATAGGTACACACACATCAAACATAGACTGTACATACACATTGAACATACACGGTACACACACATTTAGAAACATAGACTGTACATACACATTGAACATAGACTGTACATACACATTGAACATACTCAGTACACACACACTGATCATAGATCGTGCATACACATCAAACATAGACTGTACATACACATTGAACATACACTGTACACACACATCAAACACAGACCACACATACACATCGAACTTACACCATTTATACACATTGTACATACACGGTACACACACACTGAACATACACTGTACATATAAATTGAACATAAAATAGATTTAGTTCCTTTTGTCAGTGCCATCTAGAGGCCAAAATAAGGTATAGCTTTCTGAAATAGTTGAGTGAGAAAGTATATAAAATTTTGGTCACTAGATGGAGCTGATGATACTGGCATGAATCTATTACACAAAATACGGGGATTTGTATTTGCACAGTGAGTGACATTCGTCCACCGAATATTCTATAAGTATATAGCCAAAAGTATTGCCCCTCCCCCTCCAAATCCTGTGATTCAGGTGTTCCAATCCCCTCCATATCATGTGAATCAGGTGTTCCAATCCCCTCCCAATCATGTGATTCAGGTGTTCCAATCCCCTCCATATCATGTGAATCAGGTGTTCCAATCCCCTCCCAATCATGTGATTCAGGTGTTCCAATCCCCTTCCTATCATGTGATTCAGGTGTTCCAATCCCCTCCATATCATGTGATTCAGGTGTTCCAATCCCCTCCATATCATGTGATTCAGGTGTTCCAATCCCCTCCATATCATGTGATTCAGGTGTTCCAATCCCCTCCATGGACATAGGTGTATACAATCAAGCCCCTAGGCATGCAGACTGCTTCTACAAACATTGGTGAAAGAATGGGTCGCCCTCAGGAGCTCAGTGACTCCAAGCGTGGTCCCGTGATAGGTGGCCACCTGGGCAATAAGTCCATCCGTGACATTTCCTGGCTACTAAATATTCCACGCTCAACTGTTAGTGGGATTATAACAAAGTGGAAGCAACTGGGAACAACAGCCACTCAGCCACCAAGTGGTAGGCCACGTCACATGACAGGGCGGGGTCAGCGCATGCTGAAGCGCACAGTGCGCAGAAGTCGCCAACTGTCTGCAGAGTCAATAGCTAAAGACCTCCAAACTTGGTGTGGCCTTCAGATGAGCCCAACAACAGTGCAAAGAGAGCTTCATGGAATGGGTTTCCATGGCCGAGCAGCTGCATCCAAGCCTTACATCACCAAGTGCAATGCAAAGCGTCGGATGCCGTGGTGTAAAGCACGCCGCCACTGGACCCTAGAGCAGGGAGACCTGTTCTCTGGAGGGACCAATCATGCTTTCACAATGGACGTGTCTGGGTTTGGCGGTGGCCAGGAGAACGGTACTTGCCTGACTGCACTGTGCCAAGTGTAAAGTTTGGTGGAGGGGGGATTATGGTGTGTGTGTGTGTGTGGGGGGGGGGGGGTTTCAGGGGTTGGGCTTGGCCAGTGAAGGGAACTCTTAAGGCGCCATTTTGGACAATTTCATGCTCCCGACTTTGTGGGAGGAGTTTGGGGATGGCCCCTTCCTGTTCCAACATGACTGCGCACCAGTGCACACAGCAAGGTGATGGCACTAAATATTATAGACGTTTCCTATGATACTTAGCGCCATCTAGTGACCAATTGGGTTTTTTTTTTCCAGTTTAAATCAATGAAAAACATTCAACCAACACAGGGAAGAGCCGAATAACATTCGTTTTTTGTGCCCACATAATGAAAGTCAATAAACATTCGCTGGGCAAATCACATTGCAGAATTTTATATAAATACACCCCTGTGTGTCCCAGAGACCGGATACAGAATACGTTTCCCACTGCTGGCAGAGCTCACGGCATCCTTTACACCCTCTATAAAGGGGAGGAGATTCTGATATAGATTACTACCCCCCCCCAACTGAGAAATACTGCACCCCTTCATAGAAAAACACTTTTGTATAAAACTAAATGTAAAATAATGGAGTTTCTGTAACCCTCAGGAGCTAATAAAAGCCCACTGGACCCCAAAGCACATTAAAGTGCAACTCCGGGGAAAGAAAAATGCTTCCTTGCTGTGGGGTCCAGGTTCGGTACCGCCAGCACTGAATGTATGTAATGGCAAGGGGTGTGTGCTGGAGGGTCTATTGACAATGGCTTCTGGGGATCTATTGTTGCTTGAGGGGATTCTTTTTTGCAGGGAGTCTATTGTTGCTGGTGGGGGTCTACTCTTGCTGGTGGGGATTTATTACTTCGGGGGGGGGGGGGGGGGGGGTCTATTGTTGCTGGTGGGGGTCTATTGTTGCTGGTGTGGGATCTATTGTTGCTGGTGTGGGATCTATTGTCGCTGACGGGGGGTCTATTGTTGCTGGTGGGGGATCTATTGTTGCTATGGATGGGTCTAATGTCGCAGTGAGTTGTCAATTGTTGCTGGGAGGGATCTACTGTTGAGAGAGGGGTCTATCGTTTTTGACTGCTGGAGCGTCTATTGATGCTGCGGGGTGATCTGTTGTTGCCAGTGGTCTTATGTTGTGGGAGAGGTATTTTGCTGTGGTGGTCCATTATTGTTGGGGAAATCTATTGTTTCTGGGGGGGGGGTCTATTGCTGATAGCTGCAGGGGATCTATTTTACTGCTTTTCTTGTTATCATTAACACATTCAATACAAATTACTTATCACCACAAATGATACTTGGTTCTGTATTCTTTAAAATGGCTGTATTGGGAGGTAAGTAGGGGGTGGAACCAAGGGATGGTGCTCAGAGGTGGGTAGGGGGTGGAACCAAGGGACGGTGCTCAGAGGTGGGTAGGGGGTAGAACCAAGGGACGGTGCTCAGAGGTGGGTAGGGGGTGGAACCAAGGGACGGTGCTCAGAGGTGGGTAGGGGGGGTAGAACCAAGGGACGGTGCTCAGAGGTGGGTAGGGGGTGGAACCAAGGGATGGTGGTCAGAGGTGGGTAGGGGGTGGAACCAAGGGACAGTGCTCAGAGGTAGGTAGGGGGTGGAACCAAGGGACGGTGCTCAGAGGTGGGTAGGGGGTGAAACCAAGGGACGGTGCTCAGAGGTGGGACCAAGGGATGGTGCTCAGAGGTGGGTAGGGGGGGGTGAAACAAAGGGACGGTGCTCAGAGGAAGGTAGGGGGTGGAACCAAGGGACGGTGCTCAGAGGTGGGTAGGGGGTGGAACCAAGGGACGGTGCTCAGAGGTGGGACCAAGGGAAGGTGCTCAGAGGTGGGTAGGGGGTGAAATCAAGGGACGGTGCTCAGAGGTAGGTAGGGGCTGGAACCAGGGACGGTGCTCAGAGGTGGGTGGGGCTGGAACCATGGGACGGTGCTCAGAGGTGGGTAGGGGGTGAAACCAAGGGACGGTGCTCAGAGGTAGGTGGGGGTGGAACCAAGCGATGGTGCTCAGAGGTGGGTAGGGGGTGGAACCAAGGGACGGTGCTCAGAGGTAGGTGGGGCTGGAACCATGGGACGGTGCTCAGAGGTGGGTAGGGGGTGAAACCAAGGGACGGTGCTCAGAGGTAGGTGGGGGTGGAACCAAGCGATGGTGCTCAGAGGTGGGTAGGGGGTGGAACCAAGCAATGGTGCTCAGAGGTGGGTAGGGGGTGGAACCAAGCAATGGTGCTCTCAGAGGTGGGTAGGGGGTGGAACCAAGGGACGGTGCTCAGAGGTGGGTAGGGGGTGGAACCAAGGGACGGTGCTCAGAGGTGGGTAGGGGGTGGAACCAAGGGACGGTGCTCAGAGGTGGGTAGGGGGTGGAACCAAGGGAGAGTTCCTTTACCTATTCTCTGAGAAAAAAAGCCCTGTATGCAATATTTTCATTTTTACATAGATGTCTTGTGTGCTGAAAGCCACAGAAATATAAATCCTTCAATACACAGACACAACGCATGGATTACAAGGTATGCACACCTCACACTGAGTATGACTACCGTATATAACAGACCAATCAGAGTCCAGAACAACCAAATATCTGCCGGTGTACTGTGGCAATCCATCATATACAGAGCCAGCATTGCACCAATGAGAATCAGCTCAACATTATCATACAACGCAGCAGGGCAACAAATCAATTCATCAACTATAGATCAATATATATATAATAATAACAACAACAATAATAATAATATTGATATTAATAATAAGTAAATACATAGAATTATTATATTTAATTAATTACATTTAATTAATTAAAAGGAAAAAATATATATGTATATATAGAATATGTATATACACATACAGTACATATTGCATATATATAAAAAAATATAGTTTATTAAGTAAAATATCATCATCAGTAAAAACACAACAACAATCAAACTTCTGGATTTCATTTGGAAATCGATCTCTTGCTCTCAGTTAATGTAAACGGTCTTAATAATCACATTACTAATTCTTTAAAGTGTAAGTAAAACCAAAACTTTCTTCATTAGTTTTGGATGCAGTAAAAAAAAAAAAAAGACTTACTTTTTACTTTGCTTCCCTTCATTTCCGTTCTCAGAGACCCAACAGAAAAATTGCAAGAAATCTCCTCAAAGTGAGGGGGAAATCTCCTCTTGTACAGGTGTCCCCATTGGAAGATTTTCTCTAAGTTCATGTCTCTGACACCCAACAGGAAATGAGAGAAAATATCAAAATGTGAGGGAGAAATCCCCTCTTAGACAGGTGTCCCCATTGGAAGATTTTCCCTAAATTCCTGTCTCTGACACCTAACAGGAAATGAGAGAAAATATCAAAATGTGAGGGAGAAATCCCCTCTTAGACAGGCGCCCCCATTGGAAGATTTCCCCTCACATCCCATCTCAGACACTCAACAGGGAACCCACATGGAAGAAAAATATATTTAAAAAATATTCTTCCCAAATACATTGACATATATATTTGAAATACTACAATTTTGGCCGTATTCAATATATTTAAACAAATTATATAAATATATATATATATATACACACACACATACACTGTATATATGTATATATATATATATATGCAGTTGTGCTCATAAGTTTGCCTCTCCTGGCAGAAGTTGTGAAATTTTGGCATTGATATTGAAAATATGACGGATCTATCAAAAAATGCTCTTTTATTGAGGGATGATGATCATATGAAGCCATTTATTATCACATAGTTGTTTGTCTCCTTTTTAAATCCTAATGATAACAGAAATCACCCATATGGCCTGGATCAGAAGTCCCCGCCCCCTGGATCAGAAGTCCCCGCCCCCTGCATCAGAAGTCTACGCCCCCTGCATCAGAAGTCTCCCTCCCCCGGGATCAGAAGTCCCCGCCCCCTGGATCAGAAGTCCCCGCCCCCTGCATCAGAAGTCTACACCCCCTGCATCAGAAGTCTCCCTCCCCCGGGATCAGAAGTCTCCCTCCCCTGGATCAGAAGTCTCCCTCCCCTGGATCAGAAGTCTCCCTCCCCTGGATCAGAAGTCTCCCTCCCCTGGATCAGAAGTCTCCCTCCCCTGGATTAGAACTCTCCGCCCCCAGATCAGAACTCTCCGCCCCCAGATCAGAAGTCTCCCGCCCCCTGGAATGTTCAGCCTTGGTACAGACACACAAGGTGACACACACGGGTTACAATGCCAATTAGAGGTTAATGTCCCACATCTGTGACTTTTTACATTGCAATTAGTGTCAGTGTATAAATAGTCAATGAGTTTGTTAGCTGTTACCTGGAAGCACTGACTAGGCCAGATACTGAGCCATGGGGATCAGAAAAGAACTGTCAAAAGTCCTGCGTAACAAGGTAATGGAACTTTATAAAGATGGAAAAGGACATAAAAAGATGTCCAAAGCCTGGAATAGGCCAATCATCACTTCCACTAAGAAGCAGAAAATTCAGGGATCTCTTGATACCAAGCCAAGGTCAGGTAGAGCAAGTAAGACTGCAGCCACAACTGACAGAAGAATTGTCCGGGATTCAAAGGGAAACCCACAGGTAACCCCAAGAAAAAAAAAAATATATATATATATATACACAGTGTGCATATATAAAATATATATATACAGTTGCAAGAAAAAGTATGTGAACCCCTTGGGATTACGTGGAGTTTTGCATGAATTGTGCATAAAATGTGCTCTGAACGTCATCTAAGTCACAACAATAGAAGAACACAGTCTGCTGAACATAATACTACACAAACATTAGATGTTGCCATGGCTTAATTGCACATAACATGTAAACATTCACAG